TGGAGAATACAATGAATAATGTTATATTGCTAACTGTTACGTATGTAATGATAATTAGTAATTGATAATGATAATTAGAGTACATATTCTATTTTATTATTATTTTATTATTTTTTAGTGATCTTCTGTTATCCTGGACATGCATATTATTATCTATAATAAAACTGTAATGTACATTTATTTATCTGTGCTTTGGCTCTCATGGTAGCAGCTTATTCTAGCTATAATGAGAATCTCCCGACTATTAATTCGTCATAATTTAATTTACTTATGTCAAGAATTTATTGTTATAATTTTTGATTTAATAAAGCAATCTTGAGTTCGGAGTTCGGAAAGAGAATTTGATAAATTATTGCAACCATGTCATTCAAGAATGATGAAAAGTATAGAATTCCTATATATAGTCTTTAGTTTCTTTGTTTTCAGACTTCAATCCATTCTTTTTTTAATGCATGCAACCAGCCAGGTTATGACCTCTTACAGTACAACATACTCTGTAAACAAAACAAAAAACATCAAATTGTCTGAGAAAAAATCCATTTGAATAAAAATATTCCCAAGTATAAGATCAAACATACATGGAACAGCAGTGCTAGTTATTACAATTCAGTGTACATTTGTGCCTACAATAGGCCTATCGTACGTTGTTTTTCACTATAATATTCCTACTGGTGAGTAATGTACAGACGGGGCCCCTGTGCCTTAAATTGCCTGTAAACGGTGCGGTGTAGGTGTGGTGTTTCTTTTCTTGTAGCTTTAGGTTCATGGTAATTTTTTGTTCCTTCCTGTAGTGCCTTGAGCACTACTGCAGTGGATTTGTGCGCTTTATAAATCTTATTATTATTATTTATTGCTAATAGTTGCACAAAAAACACCACCTACAGTACAACTTCAGCAACATTAATGTCGTCAGCGTTTGTATCTTTGTGTTGTTTTAAAAATTGTTTTCTTCCTATTTAAAATTCACTTTTGAAATGTTTCAAAACAAAATTTAATGACAAGAAAGATCAACTTTTCGGGTCCATCATGGAACCATTCTCAAGATCAAGTAAATTGAAAAAACTAAAAACAAAAATACCAAGCAGTGACAGGAAGTAAGTAATTAATTTACATATCAATAGGGCCTACTGTGTGGAGCCATAGTGGAGCTAAGCAATAATTAGTCCCATTAAAATTCCCCCTTAAATTTTCACCATAATAAATGTAATGTTCTTTTGTAAATGTAGGATATACTGTACTATCCTAAAATTTTAGTATTCATCGAATCACACTTTTTTTTTCAGAAGCCATAAAAATAGTCTGCTGTTCTGTTGGTCAGAATGTACAGAAACAGATTTACCGTAATATTACACTACTTCCTCTAAATTCCTTAATATATATATATGAACAGACAGTAGCACTTTAGACTATAAAATTTAATCTTGCTTTTGTGCACATAGTGGACTCCATTCATTTCTTTTACATTAAAAGCAGATTAACTTTGGCATCACACTGAGAGATTAAGTACATAAATTGTTGATTAATTACATTTCATTAAACATATTGATTGCAGCTACTAATACAATTACGCGTACTAAATAGGACTCTGTTAGGAAAGTATTTAAATTTACTACTGTTTTTTGTTGGAATTGTTCAAAAACTTTTCCAACAATTTTTAAAGCTCCACAGCCTTAAAAAAGTCTATTGTACGATACGTTTTTATATTTTACTATGTACAATGTTGTAGTGGTATTCATAATTTCAATTAATGAGGCTATTAACTTAGCAGGTGAAGAATTTTGGTCTATTTCTTGTTTTCCCAGCTTCTCATCATCCTCCTTGATCATACACATGTAGTCACCTACATTCGTGATGTCTGAAGGAAGCCATGTGGCTTTTCCAGTGACGTAATAGCCGGTTATATACCGTAGTTGACCATCTGGATTCTTCCAAATGACCTGGGAGCGGACTACCAGACACCTGGCAGTAGACACCATCATTTGCATCCAAACTTGATGGCATCAGTTTAGCAATGGATCCATTGCCACACTGTATTGATGTATTTCGAACACAGGTTATTTCCAATTCTTCTAGAGATTCGTGCAGAATATTGTAATCACAGTCGCATGCCAGAAGATTCTTTCTGAGGTCAAATTTAGAAAGAAAGCTATTGCCTGCTATATCTGAGTGACCAAGTAATGGAGCATGTTTTAAGAAGAATGCTTGAAATATTATATTGGAAGTAAATTTCTGTAGAAATCCATTGAAGTTTTGGAAACTTGAGGTTCGAGTGAACTGGTAGGGTATGGAACCTTAGAAATGTTATTGTACAATAGAAATACTGTAGTCCCTTAAGGTTTGATGGAGAAGGCAAGTCCAGAAATGACCAGGAGACCAGTATTTTTCTGTTCTAGATTCAGATTTCAGAAAACTCAGATTTTCTTATGTTAATGATGATGGTGTTGATGGATGATGGTGGTGATGATAGTTGTAGCTGTAGGAAACAAGAGTGGTTGATAGATATTTTAAGGGTAAATGGGTATTATAACATTGGCAAACTCTAAATCGATGTTCCGCAAAATATGGTCCGTGACCCAAATTTGGGAGGGCCCCGAAGCCGTCTGGAAATTGAAAAAAAAATAACAAAGAGACGTTTCATCGTGGAATGAATCATAAGCTAAAGATAAATAAATATAAAGACCTGTCCTAGAAAGCTCATAACAGTAAACAACACCACACATTTCTTGATA